ATTCCTTTTACATCATTCTTTTGCCTAATTTCTATAATAGGTCTTCTATTTCTGTGTTGAAGAGTAGGGGTAAAAGTGAAAAACATTGTGTTATACCAGGTCTTACTTGAAAAGCTTTCAGTTTTTCATCTTTGAGAATATTTGCTGTGTGTTTTTCATATAAGACTTTTATTAAGTTGAAATATGTTACATCTACCTTTTTTGAGGGCTTTTATCACAAATGGATATTGAGTCTTATCAAATACTTTTTCTGCATCTATTGGTATGAACATACGATTTTTAAAGTATTTTACTGTATACATCATTCTTCATTTTGTACATTTTTTCATCTTGGCTGTAATCCCTGTGAACTTCCCACCACCAAGTCAACCAGGTGTCATCACCATAGTCCTGTGTGCTCTTCCTATCCCAGTTTTGATCCTATTCCCTTTTACACCCCCATAGAATATCTCTGGTGTATAGTTTTTTGTTGATTTTTGTTTGATGTGGTACATGTATAATATGGAATATTACTCAGCAATCAAAAATGATCACGCTTAGTGAAATAAGCCAGACACAAAATTACTGGATGGTTTCATTCATAGCAGGAGTGTTAGGGATCAGGAAAAAAAGCAATTGTAATAAAGTATGAACATATGATTTTTAACTTTCCTTTTATTGATATGGTGAATTACATTGTTTTATTTGGGGATGCTGACCAACCCTTGTGTCCCTGGAATAAATCCCTCTTGGACATATGTATGATGCATTTTTGAATTCAGTTTGTTAAGGATTTCTGTACATGTATCCAGCAGAGAAATTGGTCGATAGTTACCCTTTATTGTGGTGTTTTTGCTGGTTTTCATATCAGGGTAAATGTGTTTTGAAATAGTTCCTCTCTCAAATATAAGAGAGTTTGAGAAGGATATGTTTCTCTTTGAAAGTTTAATAGAAATCATTAGTAAAAACACTCTGGTTCTTGACTTACGTTTTTTTGGGAGAACTTGATTATGTTTCAATGTCCTTATCTGTTTTGATCAGTTCAGGTTTTCTATTTCTTCCTGATTCATTCTCAGGTTGTTGTAAATCTCTACAAATTTGTCTGTTCTAGGATATTCAATTTAAAGGTATACAAATGTTCATAGTTATCATTATATTTTTGGTTGTAAGTAAAGTTCTGTTTATAATATTTAAGTATAGGATTTTTCAGGTTCCTCTCAGTTTTAGGTTTAAGTGATTTAATGAGTATACTTATACATCGAGAAAAGATTAAATTATGCTCAGTGTATTTTATTCAGTAAGAGCAGTAAGTAAAATAACTTAATGTTATTGTTTTGAAGATAACTAGAAAATACAGCTTCTATGAATGACTACCTCTATAAGAGTCCATAGGAATATTTCAGATAAATTCCTAATAAAAATTTTCATACAAATTTGATATACTTAAAACCAGCTCAATGGCTTCACAATGACTTAACTGGTTAAATCATTTAAAAAGTACTCTTACGTTCACTGTAACATTATTTACAATTACCATGTTATAGAAACAACATAAGTTGTCAAGGGCAAATGATTGGATTAGGAAGATGTGGTATATATAGCCCATGGAATGTTATCCAATTATAAAAACAAAACAGATAAACTCTTGTTACTTGTGACAAGATGGATGGAACTTGATGATTTAATGTTAAGCAAAATAAATCGACAGAGAAGGACAAATATCTTACATGTCACTTATGTGTTAACTATTGAAAAGCAAACACAGTGTTAGATAAAACCAAACAGATAACACATCCTAGAAATCTGACTATAGAATTGAGATTAGCCAAGGGAGCAGGGGACACAATGGACTTTGATGAAGGACTATAGGTGCCTTCGTGGTAGGTGTGGTATCATAACAACACCTGGAGAAGTTCATTCTACACCTCTAAGTCATATACAGTGTTGTAAATCAGTTTCACTTCCATAAACAACGAACCAACCATTAACTAGATGCAAAATACAAATATTTTTAAATATAAATATTATAAAGCTCTTGCTTTATAATTTAAGAAGAATGCGTTCACATATCCTATCTGTACCAACCCAGACTGGTGGGTAAAACAAATGATGAAATCCAGCATTTAGCAAAGTAGAAAACAGATGTTCACAGAAAGTATGTGATATATCCGATATTCTTCATTGTGCTGAATGTAAGGCAAAAGCCATATGGTGGATGGGTCATAGAATGCTAAGTGTATTAGCCTTGAAAAACATGAGGTAAAGCTAAAGATAATTACTTCAGTACTTAATTCCTTAATTCAGTTATTCTCCCTACCCCAACTACTGGAAACTCAATTCCCCATACATCCAATATTTTGTCATTTTCTTTTCTTTTTTTTAAGTGCAAAAGGTTTTTATTTTATATATTTCTACATCACTCTTCATTTTGTACACTTTTTCATCTCAGTTGTAATCCCCGTGGACTTCCCACCACCACTTCACCCATGTGCCACAATCATAGTCCCAATTGCTTTTCCCACCCATGTTTTAATTTTGTTTCACTCTTCTCCCCTGCACAGTGTCTCTGGTTTATAGTTGGTAGTTGATTTATTTTTTACTTTATTACAATTACTATATAAATAAAAGTCAAACTTTTATATAACTATTTTCCTGATTTTTGTGCAAACGATTACAACTTTTGCTATGTAGTCATTCAATATCTTGCTACATAATAGACCAAGATGAAACTAGGGCAAACAGAGATAATGACAGGTTATGTTGCTTATAAGAGATTGAACTTGCATTGATTTGAAAGAAAAATAGACCTCTTGAGCAAAGTGGCCTTCTTATTGTTGCTACAGCATTTAAGTGAAATCAGAAATGGTGCAGCATTATCTCAGAGCTGTTAACTACAGATAGCGGCAGTAGTTTTCACTTATATTTGGCCTGCTGTTTTTAAGGTTCTTTTAATTCTTGGGTACGTGTAACACTTACAGTCAGCCAGTAGGAAAGTATTTCTGTATTACCAAGGCAGTTATGCTTATTCTTGGGGATCATCTTGCGTTCTGGAATTTTTGTGGTAGACTCAGCCCTACCAGGGACTAAGTTCCATTACCCTGATGGTTCTTTAGTGAACTGAAGTTTACAGCCTCCTCAGAACTCATTCCAGAATACATTGGTTCTAAAACCATATTAAAAAGGGTATTTCAGGCATTTGAGCTCTGTCTTCTGTCCTCCCTCTCGTGACCACAGTTTACAAAGGAACCCCAAATTGTTCTGAAACCTGGCAGCGATGATAGTAAAAGTTGCTTAAATGGATATTGTCCTTATTCTTTGGCCCAAACACCTTAGAAAATTGGGTCAGGTTGTAGATGTGAAGTTTATATTTCCAAATTGTTATCCTTGAATGAAATTCCCTTCATAAATTTAGTGGTGTTTTTGGTTTCTAAAAGTTTCTGGGAGAAACTGTATTTCCATTTTTCTTATACTCATTCCCACATCTGAATCATTCTAGTCAGATTTCTTAACATTAAGACATTTGAGAATGCAAAAGTCATAGTCAAGTGTACAAATTTCAATGGAAGGCTGTCTTAATTTTCTTGTTAGATTTTTTTATTGTTCCAGATATTCAGAGAAAGAGAAAGTATTTCACTTCCTTGTCAATATATTTGTTTTTTCCCTAACCCGGTCTACTAGAATGATTTCTGTTTGCTTTGATTTATAGTGTACTTATTGTTGTTGTTTTCCTAATTTTAATTAGACTCTTTCCTTAGGAAGGGTTTTCATTCTGTCAACTTTTAGGAATAAAAATTAAACCCGACAGCTATTAATAAGAGCCTGAAATTGCCTTAATAATTTCATTGGCTCTTCTCTATAAAATGCACTACCAGAATTAATCTTTTTTTTAAAAAAATAATTGAGTTTTTAATGAAACTAATAATTGTTTTACCGTAATATTAAACATTTTCCTATTGACAGGAAGAATAAAATGGTTTTTCTTATTTCTCTTCAACAATGTTTATTTAAAGATACCTAGTTTTTACAGTTTTTTTTTAGTAAAATTTACTAAATTTTGAATTTCGTAGTTATTAAAGTAATCATTTTGGTTAGCATTGCCTAAAGCAAATACTTTTCAGTCACTAAAACTTCCTGTTTGTTTTTAAACTTCAAAGAGAGGTTTTGTTTTAATGTATAAAAAGAACACCTTTATCCCAGAAAGAGGAAATATAAAAGACCCCTTTGTTCCAGAGCAGTTTCTGGTTGTGAGACATATGCCAGATGCCTTGCTTGACAAAGAACAGTGACTGTCCCTGTAGCTAATTGACCACATATGGCTACCACCATCTCTGACTTTCTGTGTCATAAAAATTATTTCAATGAAAATGCCTCTTTTTCACCATTCAGTGACATTAACCAGATAAGGATGTCCTTCCTTTTAATTTTTTTTTTGTCTTTATACTTGGTACTTTTTCTAAACAAAATCAGTAAATGTTTATATTCTGTATAAATTTCAGAAAGAATCTGTCTCCCTTTAGCACTCAAATTAGTGCCCATTACTGGGGAGTTAATTTGCTTTTAGAAATCTTGCAGCTTGGAAGCACTGAAATTGTATTTAAAAAACCCAAAAGTATAAAATTCTACACACAGAAATTTTTTACTTCAATTTTCAGAGTATCTTTTTTTGTTTTTAGATGAATCTACGTTCTGTATTTACTGTAGAACAACAAAGGATTTTACAGCGTTATTATGAAAATGGAATGACAAATCAAAGTAAAAATTGCTTTCAGCTCATATTACAGTGTGCACAGGAGACTAAGCTGGACTTCAGTGTAGTCAGGGTAAGTATTGAGGTCATACACTCTGGAATTGTAACTTTTATTATAAATGATAATTGCTTAATATGAGACTATCCGCCGCTTCAGTGCGCTTCAGTGAGAGTTTGATCCCTGGCCCCGGAGGTGACACACATGGTGGCAGAACTCTCCTGTCTCGTCCGCTGCTCCCCTCAGCAGTGTACTTAGTCTGCTCCCCACTCTGTCTCTGGTGAGTCCTCTCACCGCCCCTGTACCCCAGTTGTACCCCAGTCTGTATGCATAAATAACTAAATCTTAAAAAAATAATAATTTAGTGTGCATTTGTTCCTATAAGTACACTGAAAACACTATTTTTTTGGTATTGTAAACACATCTATTTAAAAATCCAAATCATTTGAACTAATAAATACCTTTTACATAGTTGTTGATTTTATGTTTTTTTTTAAATCAGTTTTAATCTGGATATAACACACCAATATTGTATCAGTAAACCAGACATTTAAAAAGAGAATATTGTGCTCTTAGCATATTTTTTGTTGTATTTTAATTTTTATCAGGCATTTATAACTTTGGTACATTATGTTTTTAGGAAAACCTACCCTCTTTATGACTACCATGTCCTCCTAAGTAAAATTGTATGTATTTTAATGATTTAGCAAGCAAGAGATAAGAAATCCCAAGGGAAGAAACTTTTCTTTATCACAGCTATGGTTATTTGGCTATAAAAATCAGAGCTTCTACACATTTGTGAAAGGCAGTGATAAGGTGTTAGGGGGCCAAAGCTAACAGAACTAGTCACCGATTTTATTAAGTGTTTAGGGCCATTCATGTTTGTCTGAGAATGTTGCAAATATTCCTGGCATGAAGCACTGGAATTTAAAGATTAGCAACACTCCCACCCTTGTCCTTCATTAAGCTAATTTGCCAAAAAAAAAAGAAGAAGAAGAAGAAGAAAAAGAAGAAAGAAAAGAAAAAGAAAGCAAAGAAAAGGACATCTGTTTTTAAGTTTAGTTTTCCATTGAAGAATCCTCTAAAACACCTAAAATTAAATAATTCCTGATAAGCAGAATTCGTTGGAAATCTATTTCTAAAATGCCAAAGGTTACAATCACCTTCAAATAGTGAATTATGCCACTAATTCTAAAGAAAAGCATCCAGGATATCCGTTTCTTATTTCTGAAATAAGTCATCACATTCAGATTGTGTATGAATCGGAAATATTTCCACTGATTCCTCTAACTTCTCAATTTGAAAGAACTTCAGTAAGCCTAGGAGAAAATGCTTAATCACCTTAGCAACAGTAATGTAATGCGTACAGTATTCAAATTGATGAGATTTAATTTTGTAAATATAAATCCCCTGAAGTAACTTATTTTTACCTTCCCTGTATTTATTACACCTTTACGTTAAAGTGAAAAGAAAAGCTTCTCAGTTAACTGCACTGTAGACCTTTAATATTTCCAGTTTGTACTCATAATCTTCTTTTAGTAGTTTACTTGGCTGTACTCTTAATATTGAGTATTGAAATACAATGGTTTTTATTTATGCTCCAAATGATATGAAAATTAAAACAATGAAAATGAAAAATAACTTCCTAGAATGTAAGATTATGAGTAAAATTTTATGAAAGTTATAAGAAATTGTGTAAAACAGGTTCATTCTCACTATTCTAGAAACAGAAATTCAGTCTTCTAAATTTTGTTGCTTTCTCTAGTTGGAAGAGAAGGGAGTTGTTTATTTACTTATTATTCCACAATCTTCTTTGCTCCAGTGTTTAGCTAGGTTCATATGTTTTATTTGAAAGAGAACTTTACATTTACTATAATCTTTGCTCTGCTTTACTCAGCGTAAATTAAATTCCATTATACTAAGAATTTATTCACAATGTAAAAAAAAACTTAAAAGGTTAAAACATTCTTGTATAATAAATGAACAGGGAGATAGAGAGGTATAGTAAAAGAGGCTTGGAGACCTTGAATGTCTAATAGAACTGAAAGAGAGCTTTAGAGATGGCAAGGATTGATGACCCAAATGTTTTCTTTTATATATCTCTGTGCAGATAATTTTGTTAGTTCCAACCAAACCTTCAATTCTAACCATTTAAAATTGTGTTTTACCCAATTTTTTTTTCTCTTCACAAGTGAGGCATAGAAATGAGAGTCATTTATGTCCAATAAGCACTGGTAAATTTTAGATCCTGTAACTAAATAACATTTTTTAAATTTATCAATCTACATTAAATTTTATTATTTTATTATATATATTTCACATTATTCTTCATTTTGTATTTTTTAAATTACTTTCAATAAAATAAAATATAACTTATTAAGAAAAGTTTAGGGAATGAATTTTTTTATTATTAATACTTTAAATTGAAAATAATTTATTCCATGCTTTCCTACTTCACTTCAGTACATAATATTGAAAATAATTGAACCTTTGCATTCTCACCAAGCTTCAAATATGGAAATCAGTTTTTGTACTGTGATATAAAATTATAATGCTCACAATATGGAAGAGTGTATGGGGTGCTTTTCTCTTTTTCTAAAGAACCCTAGCCTACTTAATAATATATCACATCAATTCCTATCTTCTTCCTTCTTAGTGAGCAATGTTTTGTGAACATTCTTAGTTGTGGTGCTAGCAGGGTGCCTCCAACAGCAATCTGTCATCGTGTCTTTATTTTTTATTTCTAATTTGTTATTTCTTATTTTGTTATTTTAATTTTATAAATTACATAAAAATAGAAATGCTGTAAATTCATAGGGTGTCCTTTCTCTAGAGAACATGTGTCTTGTGAAATCTGTGTTGGCTGCATTCTGGACAAATGTTGCTAACTAGCTGAGTTTCATATACATCTGATATTCCACTCATCTTATTTTTTTGATATGTATAAAATACATATCTGTTAAGCACATAAGTATGTTTTATAATTAATATAAATATATAGCATATATACATATAGTATGCATGTATGTATGCATATATATGAAGTATAGGACTATGAAAGTAAATCATATTTACAGTGCACTAAGATGACTCTTTAACTGTGTTAAAGTGGGTATTAGGATAATAAAATGGTTGATTTTTTTTCTTTTAGAAATATGGCCCAGAGATACCAACCCCAGATATAACAGTTATTCTTTCAACTGTTATATTTATTTCTTGTTATTTCAAAATACTGATTTTTTTTATTGAAGTAACATTTGTTTACATCTTTTTTTCATATCTTGAAAGTACAGGATCTCCTCTTCAGGTATAGTCACCATTCTTGAGTTCAAATCTTACTAAGACATTATGCTTTCTCACTGAAATATTTTAATTTAATGGTTATATATTTTGTAATAATTAAGAACAAATATGTCATGCTTTTTATGTTTTATATGCTAGAAAAATCATAACACAGCAACTTATTTTGAATATAAATAAAATTAAACTTTTTAAATGACACATTGAGACTATATTTATCCCAAAATATTTATATTTAATTATTTCTCTTGAATATATATTTGTATATCTTTTAGTTTTTTTCTCCTATGTCTTCTTCTGTGATATTTATATTCATTTGCTCATCTGCTTTCAATTATCGACTCTGCTGTTTAGTTAAGCTAAATCGGAAAAAGCTTAAAATTCTGAACACCTCACTGGAAACAAAATGGAGCATCTGACTGTCTAAATAATTTTTTTGTGAGAAATATACTAATTTCAATAGTAAAATTTTCAATAGAGATGAACATTTCAGGAATTTCTCACCATAATGGTAGGGAAATTTACTTTTGAATATGTAGTGTACTTTTGAATATATACATATAGTATATATATATACTGTATATATACTATATATATATATATACACTATATATATATACTATATAGCTAGGATAATCTTCCTCAAACCACTTACTATTGCTGAACCGGCTTCTTCATTTATACAATGAAAAGAAATAACTCCTACCAGGTCAGTTAAATGCATCACAGGAAAATGCATTCACAAGAATTCAGTACAAATTGGTTTTTATTTATGGTAGCACAGCAAGATTTCAGTGTTACATGTTGTATGAATAAACTTTGAAATTGGATAACTTGTGTAGTCTTCAAAAACATATCATATGGAAGTTAACCAAATACATCCTTTGTCATATTTGTGCATGCTACTTCATTTGATGTTTCTACTTCCTTACCTTTTATAATTCTTAATAGATTAATGTGTTTTGGTTGCTTATAATATGGTATGCATTTTTGAAGTTTTCAGAGTGTAGTAGTCATATTATTGAATGTAGTATTTATTACCTATTTCAAGAAGAATCATAACATTTATAATATATATAACAACGTATGTAACAATTCTATTATAATAAATTACTTATAAAAACTACATACTTTGTAATCAGATCCCTGAAAAACGCTCACTGGCATTATTTTTATTATCAATATTTTTATCTATTTTATAACAGTAATACATATCCACTGTGTAAATTTTTTAAGTAGAGAAAAGTAGAAAGAAGAAAATAACTACCATAAGGTCTCCCTGGTTGTGGAAGGCGCTAAGCCTCAGCAGTAAGAATCTATCAGCAGCCACTGCAGCTAAAATTCCATCCCTGGTTAGGGAGATAACCCATGTGGCAAAGCAGACCTCTCCTGTTTTGACCATTGCTCCCCTCAGCAGTATATTTTCAATCATTCTGCCTGTTCTGCTCTCCACTCTGTCTCTGGTGAATTCTTTCATTTTCTCACACCTTTGGCCTATACCACATCTCTTGTATGCATAAACAAACAAATATTTAAAAAATAAGTACCATATATTAATTTGGAATTTGTTACCAATTATTACTATCTAGTAAAATATGGTTCTTATAAATCAATCTTAGAAGAAAAATGCCCTAGAATAAAAATGAGTAAAGGGTATGCAGTTCTATCAGAGTGATATAGTAATGATAGTAACCAAATTAACTAGAATTCCTTCTAGGAATTCTAATCAAAACAGTGATTTATACCTTTTATTACAGACTAATAATAAAATATTTCAAAAGTTAATGCAAACTGTTGATGAAAGTGTTGGAAAACTAGAACTCTTATACACGAAGGATACTTTGAAAATATCAAAGAGCCCAGCAATTTTCCTTCAAGGGACCATAAGCATGCATAGTGAATTTTTGCAGTATTGTTTATAATAGGAAATATTTATAAAATAGTCTAAATACCCAGAAATATTAAATTAACTGAATTATAATATAGTCATACAAAAGACATTGTTACATCTGAAAATCATACGTGTATATTTGTTTAGCAATACTATGAGCATTTTCAGTGTCATTATATGTGTTAACTTTTGGTACATTTCCAGTTGTTCACTATTATAAAGCAATATATGATAAACATTATTACATATAGACTGTGACTATATCTATGATTATGCTTTTTTAGATCAAGTCCCAGAAGGAAATTTGCTAAGTCAAGGATATAAACTAAATATTTTCATGATTCTTGATAAATATTTGTTGAATGGGTTTTGAGGAGTGGAGGAATAATACAATTTTGTTTTTAAAATTCATGGATATTAAGACAAGTCCCTGATCATCTCTGATCTTAGTCTTTAGCTATTTTTTTCTTTTACTGTATCTTTTTCTTCTATTGTTTCTATGACAAATGCAAATAAAATTTATTACATAGAAATGGACTTTTCTTGCTTCTTTGTTAAGAACTTTTCCATAATATCGTATTTTATCCTTCCAGACGTGGGTTGGCAATAAGAGAAGAAAAATGAGTAGTAAGAATTCTGAATCAGGAGCAACAACAGGAAGTGTTACCGGTACCTCTTTGACAACTCCAGACATTACAGTCAGAAATGTTGTTAATATTGCTCCATCTTCAAGCCAACAGACCTCTTGGACATCTGCCAATAATGATGTCATTGTAACTGGTATATACAGTCCAGCCAATTCATCCAGTAGACAAGGGACAACCAAACATACAAATACACAAATTCCTGAAGCACATAAATTCCCTATTCAGAAAACAACCAGTAAAAATGATACTGAGTTTCAGTTGCATATTCCTGTTCAAAGACAAGTAGCACACTGTAAAAATGCTTCTCTGCTTTTAGGTGAAAAAACAATTATTTTGTCCAGACAGACAAGTGTGGTAAATGCTGGAAACTCAGTATACAATCACACAAAAAAAAACTATGGAAACTCTTCAATGCAAGCTTCTGAAATTACAGTACCTCAAAAGCCATCTGTGTGTCACCGACCTTGCAAAATTGAACCAGTTGGAATTCAAAGGTCATATAAGCCTGAACACACAGGTATAGCATCACATAACTTATGTGGGCAAAAGCCACCTAGTAGAGACCCTTACTGTAGAACACAGAACTTGGAAATTCGTGAAGTATTTTCATTAGCAGTTAGCGATTACCCCCAGAGAATTTTGGGAAGAAATGCTTCACAGAAGTCTAGTTCAACAGAAGGAACTTGTTTGTCCATTGCAATGGAGACAGGTGATGCTGATGATGAGTATGCCAGAGAGGAGGAGTTGGCATTGATGGGAGCACAGATACCAAGCTATTCAAGATTTTATGAAAGTGGCAGCTCCCAACAAGCTGAGAACCAAAGTACAGCTTTGCCTGGACCAAGAAGAAATATGCCAAATTCACAAATGGTGAATATTAGAGACTTGTCAGACAATGTATTGTATCAAAACAGAGACTACCATTTGACACCACGGACCTCATTACATACAGCATCTACTACAATGTACAGTAATGCAAATTCATCACGGAGTAATTTTTCTCCACATTTTTCATCTTCAGGCCAATTGAGATTATCACAAAACCAAAACAATTATCAGGTAATGTGCAAGTTTATAAAGGTTTTTTAAAAGTTTTGATTTTTACATCTGTATAAAGTTTGATAAGTGTACATGTGTTAGTATCCAGTTAGGCTTAATATCTTGGTCACTTAACTCATATTTTGAAGTACTTTGATTTTTTTTTTTTGAAAGCAGTGGGTTGGGATCAACTCTTAAGGAATTTAGTGATTTTTGTCATGTCTACAAATGGTGAGTTTTTAATGATATATATTTATTTGTATTACATGACATTTTTATACTGACATTTAAATGATTTTGCTCAAAAAAAAAAATAGCAACTTATTGGAAGCATGACATTTCCAATCATTAAAACAGAACTAAATTCGCTGAACCCACCTTTTGAACATAGATTATTCCTGTGATGATTTTTGCTTGTACTTAAGGAGATATCACTAGATGAATGGTGGTTCCTTGGACACCTGCACAAACAAGTCAGTTATTTCTCTAGGTGACACTAGCTGAGAAGTCAGAGCCTACATTAACTTAACTGCTCTTCCTAAAAGAAAATGCTTTATTGAAACATTAATTGGAAAATTATTCAAATAGTATTTTTAAAATGTTTATAAGAAAGACATATTCAGTGTGAGAATTAAAACAATATTAGAGCTGTGTAAAAAGTAGTGTCATTTTTTAAAATATTATATATATTCTATACATATATATTCTATATATATAGAATGATGTAATATATATATATATATAACACATATATATATAACATCATTCTTCCTGAATGATGTAATATATATACATATACATACATATATATGTATATATATATTACATCATTCTTCCTTTGTACATTTTTTCATCTCAGTTGTAATCCCGTGGACTTCCACCACCAATTCACCCATGTGCCATCACCATATTCCTGAGTCCTCTTCCTGCCCCAATTTTGATCCTATTCCCCTCTCCACCCCCACAGAATGTCTCTGGTTTATAGTTGTTGATTTTAGTTTTTATTTTATCATAATTTTTCTTCCTGATCCCTTACACACCTGCTATGAGTGAAACCATCCAGTAATTTTGTTTTTCTTTCTGGCTTATTTCACTAAGAATGATCCCTTCCAGCTCTATACAAGTTGCTGAATTGGCATGAGTTTGCCCTTTTTGATTGCTGAGTAATATTCCATAGTACATATGTACCACATCTTCTTGATATAGCCATCTATTTTGGGGAGTTTGGGTTGGTTTCACATCCTCCCTATTGTGAATAAAGCAGCAATAAACACGGGTGCAGGTGTCCTTTTGAATTAATGTTTTTGTGTCCTTTCAGTAGATACTTAAGAGTGGAATTGCTGGGTCATATGGAAGCTCCATTTTTTAAAAATTTATATATTTTATTTATTATATCATTCTTCATTTTGTGCATTTTTTCCTCTCAGTTGTAATCCCCATGGGTTCCCACCACCAAATCTCCCATGTGCCAGCACCATAAGCCTGTGCACTCTTCCCCCCAGTCTTGATCCTATTCCCTTCTCCACCCCTGTAAAATGTCTCTGGATGATAGTTGTTCATTGTTTTTATTTTCACTTCATTACATTTGCTTCTCTTTTTCTTTCTGGCATATTTCACTAAGCATGATCCCTTCCAGCTCCTTCATGTTGCTGCAAAAAAAAAAAACCCACGACTTTATCTTTTTGATTGCTGAGTAATATTCCATTCTGTATATGTACCACATCTTTTTAATCCAGTCATCTCCTTTTGCCCTTCTGTCCATTTTTTGGTGGGGTTGTTCACTTTATTTTTGTCGAGTTTCATCAACTCTTTGTGTACCTTTATGATCACTTCTTTATTGTTAGTATTGTGTACGAATATTTTCTCCCAGTCAGTGGGGTATCTTTTTGTTTTGTATAATGTCTCTTTTACTGTACAGAAGCTCTTTAATTTGATGTAATTCCAGATGTTTATGCTTTATTTCATTATTCTTGTTTTGGGTGACGTATCTTTAAAGCTGTTACTGAGGTGTATGTCATGTAGTATTTTGCCAATATTTTCTATATATTTTACGGTTTCACGTCTTGTATCTAGTTCTTTAATCCATTTTGAGTTGTTTTTTGTGTATGGTGTGAGGCAGTAATCTAGCTTAATTTTTTTTTGCATGTAGCAGCCCAGCTTTCCCAGCACCATTTGTTGAACAAACTTTCTTTTTTCCATTGTATATTTTTTCCTCTTTTGTAAAAAATTACCTGTCCATAAGCCTGTGTGTTTATATCTGGCTTTAAGTGGGCCATATTTGACTTGAGAGCTAAATAAGCCACTTGGACTTTATAACTGGCTTTAATCCCATTTTAGAGAGGTTGTTGAGGAGGAGTGACAGGGTATGTAGGATGGGTGTGGTGGTGGATGTGTGTTGCCCATATGGGGAGTGGACACAGGTAGAAACCACCTCCATTCAGCTACAGGAGGGGGTCTGACATAAAAAAAAAAGTCCCATGAGTGCTCTTACCAGCCAGCAAAGCCAAAAGGTGAAGCCAAGAGGTGAAGAGAGGACAACAGACAGGGAAAGATGAGGTGGTGGGAAGGTATAGTAGTCTGCAGTCTCGTGGGGATCAGGGCTTGGGGATTTTACCTTAATCACTGGCCTGTGGTATATGTGTGAGTGGTCTTTTGTCTGATGGCTGGGAGGAGGCAGATATAGAAAAGGCATAGTGAGAAGTAACAGATTTGAGGTTTGCAAGGAGATTCAATATAGGACTAGGACAAGTCCTTTCTCTGCTCACGTGGCATTGAAGGCTGCTAGGGACAGGGTCCCAAGGTCCCTTACCAGCTGCCACTAGGCCTTAGTGAGCTTGGAGGGTTCCTGCATCCTTCTGAATGAAAGGAGGGTAACTGAGTAGGAGAAAGGGGGAAGGGGAAGTATAGAGTCCTTAAGGACAAGGGGAAGCATAGGCCTAGGCCTAACTCCATGTCCTCATCCCAAGTTTTGGCCCTAGAATGTTAGAAAAAAGAGGAGACCAAGAGTATCAGACTGAAGCAGACTCTATTGAAATTCCGTGAGGTATTGCCTCTCTGCTGGCCAAGAGTCACACCCCAAAACAGGCACAGGCCTTAATAGGGTTAGGCTATTACTGACATTTTTAGTGTAAGTGAGGGGGGGTCTCTTCCACTGGAAAGGTCTGCTGGCATTGCTTACTGTCATCAGCTTCACCTCTGGTTCAGCTTATCTCAGGTTCCCTGCTGCCTCATTTTATGAGGGGTCTGTGTGTGCTCTCTTCAGTTATTCCACTGTCTCTTGCCCATAATGTTTCTTCAGAGAAATCCCATGTTGATCTAATTAGTGTTCCTTTATAGGTTATCTATTTCTTCCATTCCAGCAGATTCATTATTTTTTTCTTTGTTTTGGACTCCTGGGATTTTTATGTGTTTTGCTGTATTTTTCATTTTATAAACGTAGGTGAAATTTCATTTTGCTTTTTGTATTTCTGTTCATTTTCTTCTTCAAGCTTGGAAAGTTCTCCTTCATGATTTACCTAAATAGATTCCCAGTTCCCCCCCCTCTTCTTTTACTGTGATTCCTATTATTCTTGTATTTCCTCTTATCATAGTGTTTGATAATTCTCCACGTGTTTCTTCATTCTTTTCCTTTGTTTCTCTCTCTCTCTCTCTCTCTC